GGGGTCCCTATGTCCTCCAGCAGTCTAAGCCTATAGCAGCAGAACTATAGAGATAGATCAGGATAACCTGAACTCTAAGCTTGGAGCTTGGCCACATTTCCACTTTTTTTATCATCTGTTAACATGGCTTTAGTATTGCTGTTATTAAGGGAGTAATTTCAGCTGTTGGTCAGAAAAATTAGCATTAAGAAGCTAACTGAAGTCAGGGGATTTTGAATTCTTCTCTAAGCACAATCTGCACATGGGGGAATATTTCCAGCACATCTGCTTGAAGGCTGCATGATACGCCTTCACATTGTGACTCGCCTTCCTCTCTGTAGGATAAACTGCAAATTACAGAGAAATGTAACCATCTAAGAAAGCTGAGTGCTACCAGTAGCTTCTCACTGCTAATGTCTCCCCGTCGGGCAATGAATCCATTTCCATTAGATCCCTGCAGCCGAGGTCACAGACGTCTGAATCTAGCCACCATATATCTGCTCTGGTCTCCTGTGCGTTAATGATGGAATACAGCCTCTGGCAGGGATAACTACTCTGGGACGCACCGTCCGTATGTTGTGCTGAAATATCTCTACACCGCTTACTAGAAGAGCATCATCATCATCATCATCTTCATCAGAGGCTGCTAGCAGCGATCTGAAGGACTAACGGGACGCGGAGGCAGCAGGCGTCTCTGCATGTCTATCAGGTTCAAAGGACGTCAGGAGAGCTAGCTTAGGCTGCCACCTTCCTCTAAAGTCTTCTTATTTTCCCAGATAATAGTGATTAGATTACACTGTTTGGAAACCTTGTGAAAGAAGTGCTTTTGATATTAAAGGTATAATGGAGGATGTTTTATTTCCGGGTGGATCATCTAAATCAGTGGTCCTCCTAGCTGCCAGTCATTCTGGTGGTATGTTTATGTAAAGCCGTCCTTCGTGCTCGTCCCCATTTTCACCGACCGCTGGTGAGTCAGACATCGTGGGAAAAAGCTTCGGAAAGTTAGCTTGTATGAGTGGCGCAAACATTTACTTTTAAACAGATCGTGCAAAACGAGACATGGGCTCGTGCTCGCTCTCTGGAGCGGGCACAGGGTTGGGCATGTGCTTTTTTTTTTAAGTGGAGGGGGCGGGTCTTTTAAAAAATTATATAGATCCTCCACTATGGCTTTAAGATCTGAAGGTTCTGCTACAGAGATTATAGATTGCTTAGCTGTTTAAATAGAGCTGACCTAAAGATCAGGGAGAATAACCTTTACTCTATATAAAAATATATTCTTATTCTTCACATGCCAGATTTTCAGGTCAATAACCCGACCAGCCAATCAGCATCTTTTAAAAGCTGTCAGACTTTCTCCAGTGTTTAAGGACGAATTGTTTATAAAATACATGTTTAAGAAAAGAAAAATCTGGAAACCAGTCAGTTGAAGACAGATGTAGAAAAAACAGTTTGGATCGATTTCAGAAACACAATTTTCTCTGTGAGCTGTTTGAGCTGACAGTGATTTAAAAGAGAACGATCTGATCAGAGGGGAAACGAGCTAAGCTAAGTGCTTAGTAACCAACATGGCAGCCACCAGGTAGAATTGTCATGTCAAAAACAGTTTTGTATCTATGCTTCTTTTTCTATGTCTGCTTCTGTCTCCTTGAACCCCAGTGGGCCTCAGCAGATGGCCGCTCACACTGAGCCTGGTTCTGCTGGAGGTTTCTTCCTGTTCAAAGGGAGTTTTTCCTCTCCACTGTCGCTACAAGCATGCTTAGTGTGAGGGATTGCTGAAGAGTCAATGAGTCGATGCAATCAGCTGGTTTTCCTTAGATAGAAAACTTTGAATCAATCTGACTGGATGATCTGGTTGATATGGATCTATAAAGTGACCTGAGATGACATGATGTGAATTGGAGCCATAGAAATAGACTGAATAGAATTGGGGAGCTTTTATTATCAGAGGGTTACAAGAAGGGAAGTCAGGGTGGGTAAAACAGGCAGGAGGACCAGGGGAGACTGTAGGTTGGTGAGGCTGACTGATGTGAAGGAAAGTTGATGAATCAAAGGAGGAAGGAGCAGAATTGTTAGGATGGAAATGTCTGTAGAGAAATGAGGATTTAGGATAAAGACGTTCTCCCAGTCTGGACTAAGTGATGCTAACTCCTCATCCTCATTTCATCAGCATCAGTTCCCTCAGCTACTCTCCCTGTTGTTCTGCAGCTAAATTAGCTTCACAATCAGAATTATGTAAGGTGGGAATATTTGAGCCCACACAGTTTCTACAGCTGGTGGGCCGAACAGAATGGCAGGAATGTCCTCGTTAGTCTCAGACAAAGCAGGCTTTGATGACGGCTCAGCGGCAGAGCAGAGGAGCTACCTTATAGACTCTGGAGAAGAATCCGCTCCCAATTGGTTCAGCACTGAAGTTTTCCCAGAACTCCAGTTTGCGCACAGCTGTGCGGAGCTTCTGCCAGCGGTCCACATGGTAGCACTGGTCTGAGGACTCGGTGGACAGCGTGGGACTGGTGGGCTCTGAGGACGTGTCCACATCACACATCCTGGAGGGGTCTGCTGGGACAGACAGGCAGAGGAGGAGGGTTAGAGGTTCAAATGGCCCTCCCCAGTCAAACGCCAGCTCAATGGCAGCCCAATTCCCTGCAACTCCCAGAAGAACCCCCTCCAACTTCCAGCCACTGCAGTGACCCCCCCTCTTGCATATTTTTTTACTCTCACTCCACCCTTATCTTAAAATATCTGCCGGTTTTATTTTTCTGGATTCAGTCTCTTACATGAATAAAAATTCCTCCTGCAATTAAACTTAAAGAAGCAGGACTACAGAAAACAAATCCTGCATTTATCAGCATTAGAGCGGTCTGGATCAAAGAGAAGCTTTGGTTCTACCGTCCCACTCATGACGGCAGGCGGAGCGCGTCCCACTTCACAGGGAGAGACAAAGACGCTGCATAATGGGAGCCTCAGACAGCAACACACTAAGCAACTAGAAGAGGCTTTCCTCCAACAGCTCTTAGCTCACCGTCCTCATCTACTGACGGAGGTCAAACCTGATACTGTGAGCAAAGCTGGGGGGGGGATGGATGGGAGTGGCCTAGTGGGCAGTGCATAGAGCTAGGAATCCAGAGGTTCTGAGCTACATATACAGGATCAATGCCTGGTTTGTAGCATTGCACGCAGCATATTTAGCTGAGTTGTTGCACGCTGCTGCCTTTAGGCGCCGCCATTTTGAAAATCATAAGTCATATATTTTCAGTAAAGGGTCAGTTGTTCCCAGGCTGATGTCACCGGCCTCCATTATCAGCTGTTTCTATGCTGGATAGAAACCTTCACTAAATCCTGACCTTCTTTCAGCCACAGTGTGACAGCAGGGAAGGTCAGACTATTGTCTCCACGGTGGGAAGCACATGCTAACACGCTAACACCATCAACACCATCATGCTGCTTTTTATCATTTTCCTTCGGATTAGCATTAGG